TCGGTCACCATCTAATCACCTGAGAGCACAAACGTCGTCATCGATGTAAAACGATACTGCTTCTTTGGCGAGCCGCGTTTTTCCTTTATGCTTACAATTGTTGCCAAACTTGGCGTTGACAGCTTTTATTCGTAAACATGGATATGATTATGGAATTCGTTAAATCAAGTCGAACCAAGTTGGATCATATAATATGACGGTGTTGTTAATTTCCAAGATTAAAATTAAATTAATTATTTATTTAATTAATAGTGAGCGCAATATTGTAATTATTTTAATAAAAAAGAACGACAGATTTCAAATTTTCATTGCAATTCGTTTGTTGAATTACGCTGAGGCAAGTTCAAAACTCGAGTTCGCCGTACTAAGAACCGAGATCAAAGGAAAGAAAATCTCTCTATTGCTTTGCTAAAGGACTGTCTCTATTCAATAAAATTTATTTTGCCTATTTGCAAGGAAAAAGTTCAAACAATTAAATTAATCAATTTTTGATATTGTAATTAAATGCACGAAGCATCGTATGATTTACTGTTAAACACCCAATCTTAAATTCCTGGTTAATTACTTGCTCAGGTCAAATTGGCGGAATCCTGCTGTTAAGATTAATAATTTTAGATCTATCAATTTCTCCCTCATGTACATTCTTCGGTAAAGTTAAAATGTATTATTGTTATCTCGAGTCTTGATTACGAGGTTGCTTTACTGTGCGATAAAAATCATTGTATAAGATACACTCCGCGGTCTTGGCTTATCCGCAAACCACAACTTTGGTACCCACGTCCTTCCGATAAGAAAGACTTTCAGAAGCGTAAGATACATGACAAGATAAAAACCACGTCCGTAAAAATTGATGTAGGGCTTTGTTTCCTTCCGCGATTATACTATCTATAAACATTCGCTATCTATAATTGTTTCCCGTCATGCACGTATTAAAAACTTTATTACGAATATGAGATATCCCGTATAAGTTAAGGATAAATATATTTCTGGAGTCACTGTATATATTTTCGGACTTTTCTCATAAAAATTCTTTGTGCTATAGTACTAGCATTTGAATCTTAATTTGGATTTATTCGAAACTATCGTTGACATTTTTTATACTATCAATATATGATTAGACAATGTCTACTTTTTACTATAAATTTTACATTATTTAATTTCTTTCATATAATTTAATATAAATTTTCATTCTCTAATTTGCGCTCTTATATTTTCCTAACTTTCTACTTCATGACTCCTGTGTAATTTCCCTCACAGATTTCCTATTTCTTTCCGTACGCTCGATGGTACGAAGTGACGCATGCAGATCGCGAAATGCGAGTGCATGTCGAATCATTGAGCGGGCGCATCCTCGAAGCTCGGCGATCGAGACAAATTGTTCGTTCAGGCCGGACCTGGTTCCTTTCTGTCCACGCGCGCATTAAGAATTAAAGCTTCCGTGCTTGTAGTTACCTAACGATCGTGATTTATTATTCAAACTGTCCCTTTCCTTGGCCACCGCCGCCAATCATCATCGCAAATTCCCTGTGACGAGCGATCGCCCGCTCGTTTCCGCGTTCCCCGTATCGGAAAGGCCATTTGCAATCTGTCGAAACCGAGATGTAATTGATCGCCGGCAAGAATGCCGTCCTCGTTCCACAGGCGCATTGTACGCGTCGCCGATATTATGCATCCAAACCAAAATTCGATAAAGGTTCCTTTTTCAGGGGCAAGTTTAGAGGTCTTTATCATATAATAAATTATGCGAACCTTAATAGTGTTGATAAAACAAAGCGTAAACGAAATATAAGTGCCATCACTACAAATCATTGATACATTCAGCTATGTTTCTTGTTAAGATTATTTATTTTTACCACAATAGATTTAAAGTAGATAAATTTATACGCTTGCGTACGCGTTGGTTTAATGACTGTATAAATGTTAATAAAATCTTTGCAACTTATTAAATCGTCACCAATATCCCCGTTCCACGAGATAAGCTACTTTAACGACAAATTTCCAAGACACATAAAATTTCGCGTTTAATGCTGGTGCTGGATTGCCGCCGTTGTTTGCCCAGATGCTCAGTGCCCTAGCGACCTTGAATTGAAGACTTACGGAGTAATCGCGCTCGCCGACGTCTCGTCTTTTCGCTGATTTCGACGTTTCTTATCACGCGTATTCTAGCTCACGATGCGCTAGCGAATATCATACAAGTACGAGAAGGACGAGATTACGCTCCATATATTGCGCGTTATACAGTCCATTCGGACGCGAGATAACCGCTCTTCTCTTGCCCTCATCTAGACGATGGCGCACGGTCATCTCCATCGCGTTCTTTTCGCTCTTAGACGACGAAGGCCGTTTCCACGCGGTTTATAGAGATTTTGGACGAAAGTGCCGGGGCTTTATCGACGGCCGAGAATCGCAGTCGAAACCCGAAGAGAAAGAGAGAGAGGGAGGAGGGGGGGGGGAGAGAGAGAGAGAGAGAGAGAGAGAGAGAGAGAGAGAGAGAGAGAGAGAGAGAGAGAGAGAACACGGAGCTCGTTCTGCGCTCTTGCCTTGCGTAAGATCGACAAAGTGATCTCTATCTTGAAACTCAGTCAAGCAATCTCGATAGAACATCTCCTTCACTAAAGGACATTCAGTTATGAATACAGATGGTAAATTTAATTAAACGCTAATCGACATTGAAAAGCTCTAGTTGTACTTTGCATAATTCTAATTAATACCAGGAGAATGGTGACGATGTTTCTTGATGAATACCAGCATTTTATCTGATTCTCAGCTCTTTTAGTTTTTATCAGAGCTTTGAAACTTTCTAGATTTTAACGAAATAGGGAGAATGACCGGCTTTCAATTTTATTTCAGTATTTTTCTAAACACACCGTCGCCATAAATATTTCTGTTAGAGATTTACGCCTAGAATAATCACACATTGTAGCGAGATTACTTTGCAAACAGCCAGTGTTGTTTTTTTAAATAACAATATTTGGGTTTAAATCGTCGCTTTTATCGTAACGAGTGTGCGACTGCTGCTTAAGACGTTACAATTTTACAAATCTGCCGGCGTAATCTCTCGCGAGAGCTCGGCTGGACGGAAAAATCAGAATGTTGGCGCCGAAAATGTCTTCATCTTCGAAGCATAGCACCGATAAAGGCGGGTAGATGATGGGGTTATAAACTCCCGCCGTATAGTCCGCGACTGCACGACTGAAATGGCTGATCGTCCCATCGGAGGGGTAGTCCCCCGAGCGCGAGTCTCTCACGCGGGGGTTAAAGGCGAAAGGAGTCTGGCGCTGGCGATCGTAAAAGCATCCCGTCGGCGCGATACCCCCCGACAGCTTCTCGAGAACTTGTCGATAAATACTTTCGTCTTTCCGGATATTCAGAAGTCCGGCGAGACGATCGGTCAAGTTTGAAAAGAGTGTTGGGCAGTAAAGGCGGGAAAGCACTAAGCCGCGATAAGAATAACGAGGAGCGTGGGAACTTAATATATTCGCGGAATACATCTATGACCAGCTAATTCGGCGAGCTTATCAAAACCGGAAGCCAGCGGGGCGAGACAATGGGACAGATTTCGCCGACACCGGTCCGTTAAGCTTTATTCCGTCTGTTATACGGTCATTCGGACTGCAGTGTTACGACGCATCAACAACACAAGCGAAACTTATATGCTACACACTATCCGATGGATGTGGGTCTCTTTTTTCGCGGAGTGATATTGAAAGGGACATGTTGTGGGTGGAAGCAACGAACGCGATATGCGTCATGAAGGCGAGCTATTTCTTTCTGGCAGTAAAGAATACATCGCTTACATTTCCACGTTATAAATTTTTAGATGTTAAAGCGTCCGGTGCACATGTCAGATGTCCAAGTAAATTGAACGTAGCAGCTGGATGATAAATATCTCGCAATTTTATGACTTGCCAAAATGTCATAAAGCATTATAAAAATTAACTATTCATATAATAGCTTCAGGTATATGTATGGACAGGTACAAGACGTCCATGTTTTTTTTTTATAAAGAAATGTCTAGATATATTCACGATGCGGTTAAAAGTCTCCGTGTTCGATGGCCCCCAACATTATATCGTCAGAGAAAATGGATTTTTATGATTATTTCTGTCCATTTGAAGACTAACAATCTGCGACTCTGTTTTAGGAGGGCGACTTAACGAAACGATAAAATGCCGTGGCGCGAGTTTGAGAAAGTTCTTCGAAGTACTTCGCGTCAACTTCCGCCTGTCTCGTTCGCGATATAACGGCCGTTTTAAAGAAGCCATTTTTATTTATCACGCCGTCTTCTGCGTGTATGTATTTCGTCTGAAAGCATCCTTCGGCGCGCGCTCGTCTCGCCGATTCGCGCATCGGGAGACGAAGACGAAAGGAAATTGTTATCGCTTCGCGACGCGGGCACTGTCGTATTAGGGTAGAAGCTTTCCGAAATTTTTCGGAAGATCCGGCTACTATACCCGTAGCGCGATTCAATTTGCCTAATGAAGAAGGCAGGAGGAACGACGAGGGACTATAAAGCGCGGCTACTATGATTCACTCTTCACGAATTGATTTTTTCGTCTAGTATTCTCGTATTCTCCCACATACATACGGACAATAAAGATGGCATAGATGCTATCTCGCGCTGTGCGAAAGACAGAGATGACTACTGTATGTAACAAGACAAGCTCTCCATATAATTTAGACGCAGAGGTGCATTTAGGTCCGTATCGGCTTGGGACACAATTTCAACAATCCTAATCGATTTACAGTTGTATTATTGCTCCAATGTCGAATACCAAATCTCCCGGCACCAATATTTCTCCTCCGTTGTTCTGCAACGCCAGGGATTGTTCGATACTATGTTATTTTTAAAAAAATTTTATTTATAAAACGACGTAAGATAATGAAATCAGTTATTTAGCAAGACTCTTATTTGACATGTAATGCGCGACTAAAGAACTTTCTCTCTCTTCCACGTTGCTGTCTTACTATATAAATTATGTTATTATTTTTGTTCACAGAATTCTATACGTCACAACTTGTCGCTGCACAGCAGGTTCATGCGGGTGCAGAACGAAGGAACCGGCAAGAGTTCCTGGTGGATGATCAATCGCGACGCCAAGCCGGGCAAATCCGCCCGTCGCAGGTAAGTCCGGATTGCCAACAATTTGCCTCTCGTTTTGCTTTTCTGTCTCCCTTGATCGCGGACTGCCACGAGCGCTGTGCGTATCGTATTTGTTGCGCAGAGCTACTACTATGGAGAGCACCGGAAGTTTAGAGAAACGACGGGGTCGTTCGAAGAAGTACGCCGACGCTGTGAGGAACGGGGGACTCCTAGCTGAGCCCACGTCCAGTCCCAGCAGCAGCGTCGGAGAGGGTCTAGACCTGTTCCCGGATAGCCCCTTGCCGCCCGCCAGCGGATTCCAGCTCTCCTCTGACTTCCGGTACAATAGAGCTTTAATATTTTCGCTTTAAAGTAGGATACGAAATTTGCAAAACACGAACGTTTCTAGTCGATAAGCTACTTTGAACTGCGTGCCCCATTTCAATGGACTGTCATACATCAAGTCATACATCAAGTATCAAAACTGACCGAATCAATCTTTTTTTTATTTTCGAGAGAATTTGTTATTTGTATTAGTTACAGGAAGTTTTAATAGCTTGGCAACGTGCGACCAAACGACTAGTGTAGAGTTAGATATTATTACGTACAAATTCATGTTAAAAAGAGACGTTATATATTGTGCAAAATTAGAAAGCTAAGTTATCGATCTCGAGAAGCCGCCTTGGGCGAAATAAATAATTTTTATTATTCAAGTCCTCGCGCTTCAAGTAACGCTTCTTCCTGTGGCCGATTGAGTCCTATCCCGGCGGTTCTCGGGGAATCAGATTGGACACCAACCTATACATCTTCTTACAGCCCGGAACAACAACTAGGTACATATCTAACGATAATCTCGCTTTCTCCAATCTCTTTCTCGCTCCCTTTCCTCTTGTGTGTCTTGATATTTCTAGAATTTTTCTCCACTATCTTACATTAGCATCTCAACCCTTCGACCGATCTGGATCAACTTTTGCATAGTTACCTATGAAACCTGGACATCCCACTCCTTCCCCCTGATTTCACCCCCTTGACATATTGTGATAATTAGATATAAGAAGTCCGGGCAACGCCAGGTAGTTTAAACCAATATATTATAAAGTTGTACCTTCTATGTTAAAGTTGTACCTTTTATGTTATATGTACAAGCTGCAAGTTATATTACTGTATAATTGATTTAAGTTGTACTACATATAAATACGGCTATAACAATTAGATGATTCGTTAATTGAGAAACTGGAGATAAAATAAACTTTTTGCCATGCAGCTATATGTCAGATAAGCACGATTAATACGTGACGCATCGTGTTCGACAGCAGATACGATCCTAGCAGGCAACCTGGCCGAGACGATGAAGCTGGAACCCTACCAAATCTACCAGACATCACCGCCGGCCAGTCACCAGCAGCAAACGGGCCCGCCGCCGCCTTACTACGAAGCGCAGTACCAGAGGAACAACGGCCTACGCACTTCGTCGTCCGCATCCTATGGCCTGCCACCTACTCCGCAGTCGGCCAATCAGCAAAGATGCCCGATTCACGGACTGCAGCCGTGCGCCTGTCAGATGGTGAGTCCGAAATTTTTGGCGGATTTTTCGCGCGAGAATACCACAACTCTTCACAAAGGAGGACGTCAGCGTTTTTATGTTGCGCATGTTCGGCCTGGCAATGTTGCAAAATCAATAAGGATCGCGATATATGTTTTACACAAACGTGCATATACACGCACACAGAAAGGGAGAGAGACAAATGTACACACGAAATGTCTATGCTTCTGTATGGTTTAGAGAGAAAGGATAACGTTAGCCGCGACGATGGCCAAAGTGATTAATGGATATCATTTTTCAAAATAAATTGTTTCGTAAGATTGATTATATTATATATACGGCCTAATCGAAAAATTATTATCGAAGGAGTTGAGGAATCTTTTCTTCATGGAAATTGAGCTCGTTATTTTCCACGACGCCGATATTTTTACAACAATATTTTTGTTGTCTTGTGTGAAAAGATTTGCGACGGTGCGATGGAAGCTTATTTACATTTTATTATTGAAACTGGCTTAAAAAAGCATCATACGCTTATGGAATTGTATTGGAACGTATTTTCGATAACGGTACAAATGCAAATATATTTGGGCCAAATTCAGGACAATCTGTCTAATTGATCAATTTTCACGAGAATGAATTTACTAAGATTAAATTATGCTAAAATTTACTTACTTTTATTTCTATTAATTAGAATTAATTATTTTATTGCTACGTGATATATGCGTATCATATCTTTTTCAACAGAATGCACGTATTCGTCCTAAAATAGGACAGAGAGATATGAAGAATAGACAAATATAGAAAACTGATATGTATTTATACGAGGAAGAATATAAATAGTACTATATTTCACAACGCGAATAGCCATAGAAACATATTTACATTTCATTTGTAAATCATTATTGATCAATAATATTTGTATTTGTACATGTAATAAATTACATGCTGCAAGAGATTATGTGCAAACACAAATTGCCGCGATCACGCTTTTACCGTACTTTCCCTTTGCAAATTCGAAAATTAGAACCTGAGCCCCGGTATGTCACCATCCGGCATGTCACCGTCGTACCAGCAGAGCGAGCCCAGTCCTACGACACTAAGCAGCAATCAACAGCAAACGCTGCAATACATGATTCAGACGCAACAGCGTCAGCAACAGCAGCAACAGCAGCAGCAGCAACAACAGCAGCAGCCGCCGCAACATCAACCGCAACATCAACCGCAACATCAACCGCAACATCAACCGCGACATCAACCGCGACATCAGCCGCAACATCAGCCGCAGCATCAGCCGCAGCATCAGCCGCAGCATCAACCGCAGCATCAGTCGCAGCATCAGCCGGCACAAACTGGACCAGCCGGTCCTAGTCCGCCCAACACGCCGACATCCTGTCCCATAGTGGCTAGCACTATGATGGGTCAACTGATGGGTGCGCTCAATTCCAACATCGATGATCTTACCAGCCAAGATGATCTTAACAACATCGAGGCGATGCACGGCGGCTTCAACTGCAACGTTGAGGAAGTAAGTCTGATCGTGCTCTGTCTGTTACTATCGATGTTCATGTAGCTACGTCTATTGCTGCTAATGCCGTCACCGAGGGGGAAACCGCTGAGGGTATTGTGGTGTACAGATTTGTGGCATTTTTTGGGTATTAGTTTGATAAAATAAGATAAAGTAATGCCCACTGGGCATTAGTGGACATTGGTGTACAAGATTTTGGTCAGCGGTTTCCCCCTCGGCCGTCACTAATAAGTTTCCAAGCGACTTGCAGAACTTTTAAGAAAACCATTTCTCGTCCGCGCTAGTAGTTTTGTTTTCGAGATTTTCTTGAATTAAACATTTGTAAAAAATGAAATATAAATACGATTCTTAGCTATTAAAATCCATATCCCGAGTGTCACGCAAAGTATTAATTCTTATCCGTGGAATTTGTTTCATTTGCCAAGAATATATAGTAGTAACTTTTATATGCGCAAATATATATATATGTACTTTATAGATAAATGTATCGATTTCAATAACGAAGACCAAAGTTTGCGGACATCTTGTTAGACAATAGCTTAAGAAAATAATTCTAGTTAAAATTCCGCGGAAAGTTCGAGAAATTCACGTTACCGGATAAGGATTGCCTCAAGAGGGAAACGTTGCTTCGTAAAATATAAACGCGCGATTCGACACGTAAATTGCAGGTAATTAGGCACGAGCTGTCGATGGAGGGCACGCTGGACTTTAACTTCCAGCAGGGAGTGATGGGCACCGTGCAGGTCAGCGATGGCAATGTCGTTGGCCAGAATGGCGGCATCGTCTGCCAGAACGTTATCGGCACGACGACCGGGAACGCGCCGGGCGTCTACGCGAGCACGAATGCGGCAACCCCCGCCGCGACCCCCTCGTGGGTTCACTAGCAGTTAACCCCCCTGCCCTCGACACCCCCGTCGTCCTTGCCGATGCCGCTGTTGTCCGACGGATCGCTGGATAACTTCTGCGGGACGACCGAAGGGCAGCTCATCGGTGAGTTCCTTGAGTTTCAATTTCTTCATTTTTCAAGTTAGCGCTTGTAATCACAATTATCATGTGCCGAGACGAAACGTCGATAGATTAAATCGCGCAGGCGTTGGTCACCCGCATTTCCACCCGGGGGCAAAGATCGTGTTTGTTTCTTAGGGAAAGATTATAGAAGAATCATGAACTTAACCATAATTCGGTGATAATAGATTTAAGCAGAATTTAATTTATAACGACTCTACGTAAGGTCATTCGTGTAAGGTTTTCTTAAAAAAAAACTTGATAAATTTTTTACATTCGTTACTTTTCTTCCGAAACTAATGATAAAAGAAATTCGCCACTGTGGATTAATTTCTAGGTAATAGCTTCGCTTAAATACATTACGTAATCGTGAAATAAAGGAAGGACGTAAATCTATGTCATCCATCTGTTAGATGTTAGAGCCCGCGAATCGATATATCATTCTCGCGTGGCTGATTAATCATCCGGAAGTTCGTTCAGGATCTTTCGCGAACTTTCTCTCACGTCGCGTTTTCGATCATGGAAGTATGAAGGGAGGAAGATATCCGGCGGATGCAAGAGGGAATGGAGGGCAGAGGGAGCGGGTCATTGATTGCCCCCTCGTGCACGCAAAATAATATTTGCATACTCGTGTCATAACAGTGCTCAGCCGTATGGTATTTAATAAATCGCTTCGACGTTTTGTGCCTCCGTCCCCCGATCCTCTCGGCCCCCCGTACCCCCGCCTTCCGCCATTTCGTACGTGCCGACACATTCATATAGCGGCAACCCGTGTTCCGACGGTGTTTTGTGCGAAATCGCTATTGACTTGGACGCGATAACAATTACATCGCCGCGGGCCGCGAATTTTATGGAAAGCCTTAACACAATATTGCTGATCGCGATCACACGAAAACAGTCGCATTTTGTTTGACGAAGAAGCGACGAGCAATTATGCGTTCGCGAAAAAACACTCGCGCGGGGCCTCGATTTTTCTCGCCGAGGACCGAGCGGCACGCGTTTTCGTCTCGCAACGCTTGACGAATAAACGCGAGTTCTCCATTTCCATGACGTACACTTGTGTCCAAATGTAAATTTCGTAGTAGATAAGACAAGAAAATGTAATTGACGGGCCCACCGGTCCACGGCCCGAGCAGCGTATTGATAATAGCTAGTGGACAATACTTCGGAGAAGAATAGCCTAATTCTTAGCGTTTAGAAGAGAGTTACGAGTTATCTATATATTACGAAGAACTGTATAGAAGTGTAATTGGAAAACTGGTTTCTGGAAATAAAATTAGCGGATGGAAAATATCAAGAGTCTACCTGTGTTTTTAATACAACTCACACATTAGAAAATAAAGTTGTTTTAAAAAGTCAAGCTGAAGTTACAGTTCACGAATATGGCTCGCGACCGTTCATGGGACAATAATCCCTTCTACGTCATTTCCCAGAGTATTTCGTTTACGGCGTGCTCAAATATTCACGTCGCTTTGCAACGACCTTGGACAATTTACACGAAATTACACTGGCAATCGCGTCCATATAATGCGATCTGTCTCTTTCTGCAACGGAGTGTTCCGCGCGCGCGAAGCTTGCGGTAGCAAATTAAAACGCGTATTCACGTTCTTTACGCCGACGCCTTTTTCCACACCTCGCGCTCACTCTTTCGATCACGGAGGAGGACGAGGTAGAGATATAACGTGATTTCTCGGAGAAAATCGTTTTCGCTTTTAGTATATCGCGACAAAGCGACTAAAATAACTGCTACTTCGCTACCGGTGCCTTTTAATCTTTAATACACGCACAGAAGTGCGATGTAATTATAGCTTCATCCTACCATTACGTCGTCGTTCTTGTCGCGGTCGTCATTGTCGTTGTAACGCTAATGGGGATAAAAATGTCGTACGAATGCACGGATAAACGTTCGACGATATTAATCATACGCTAGTAATCGTGTTCTAGCGTGTGCCTTCCGGTGGCCAATTGCAACTCGCTGGATGTTGGCTTCCTCTGTGCAATCGGCGCAGTTGCGTGATCGACGCCAATAATGTTTTTCGAGTGTCACAAAAGGAAACGTCGAAATGAAGCGAGTAATCGCCCACAATTCGTTCCCCCGTAACGGTTCGCGAATCGCCACGTTGCATTCGTCTCTTTAACAATTAAAAAAAAAAGATTAAAGTTAGCAAAATAAAAATTAAGTTACACCAACACGGAAAGATGTAACTTAAGGGGATGCTGGAGTGATTCTGCACTTTCGCACCTTTTGCACTTAAAACTGTCTGTTTCGTGGAAAGATTTGTGTAATACACAAATTAAATGGCACGTGTACAGATGATCGAAAGCAGCTTGCTATTCCGGCTAAATTAGAGAACAATATGGCATCACTGAAACTAAGTTTGTAAGTCTAATAAAAAATAATAGTGAGCAACACACATACTACATGTACTGTATGTATGTGTTGCTCACTATTATTTCTTATTAGATTTACAAACTTAGTTTCAGTGATGCCATATTGTTCTTTCATTTGGCCGGAATAGCGAGCTGCTTTCGATCTGTACACGTAAACCATTTAATTTGTATATTACACAAATGTTTTCACGAACTGACAGTTTTTAGGTTAGAATGGTGCAAAAGTGCAGAATCACTCCAGCATCCCCTTAAGAGGTCGATAAAATTAATAAAACAGATTTCATGCGGAATTTAATACGAGCGGTTACTCGCTTGCGCTCGCATTTTCACATCGTTCGCGCGATCGTCAACTACGGCCGATCCCGTTCGCGTCACCCGCCGATTTTTCTTGATCTTGCACACGATCGCCGAGCAAGCAGCAGAGCGCACAGCGGCGAGCAGACAGCGAGAAAAAATGACGCGAGCGTTTGGCCACGCGAGCGGCTCATTTTTTCCTCCCTCCAGGACAACCTCTTTTGGCGATTGCACTCGCATGACAGCCTACTTTGTTGTCCCTACGGGCGCGGATATTATTTACACGGCGGAATATCGGCCCGAGAGAGATATTAGCTTTCAGAAAAATATTTTTCAGAGCGGCGAACGCGCACGAGCGACGAAAAAATACCGCCCCCGGGCTTACGCCCCGGTATATTAACGCCTCCGGCCGTTTCAGTAGTTTGTTGTGCGTATGAAACCGGTATGCACACCGATCTCCGTTAGTTCCGAGGGGGGATCGATGTCTTTTTGTTTCTCTTCCTTCCTCCCTTTCTCTCGCACCCTCTCTTTCCCTCTCTCTTTTTTTTCGTCCGACTGTATATCCATTTACCGTCTGGCGGAAAGGGCATAAATTCGAGGGTTTGGATAAAACCGATACCGCCGCAGCGAGCGAAGCGCAACGCGACGCGTAAGAAACGCGCTCGGAGGCACGGACGTTTCAACGCGGCGGCAGCGGCAGCGGCAGCGGCGGCGGCGGCGGCGGCGGCGGCGGCAGC